AGGCAGGAGCAGGATGCAGGCAGGAATGGGGTGCAGGCAGGAGCAGTGTGAGGCCCCTGCCCCAGTTTGCAGCGGGGGTGGGACCCACAGCAGGCACCCAGGGTCAGCCTTGCCCTGAGGCAGGTGCCAGGCTGCCCTCCTGGGACACACACACACATCGTGGCCCCCAACAGCCTGGGCACAGGCGCTGGCCCTGCCACGGCCGAGGGCTGGCACGATCCAAGCCAGCCCTGCCGTGCTGCTGGACACCAGGCAGGAGGAGGGGGTGGACAGAGACATCCAGCCCCGTGGTCTCTCTGCCAGAAGAGGTTCCCAGCTTTGTTTTCACCAACCACAAGTAGCTGATTATTTCCTTTGTGGGGCCACATCTCCATGGCTAAGCCCTGGCCACTGGCAGAAGAAAGGTGGCACATCCTCACCCCACCAGCCCCACAGCTCATGGAGGTGCTACTCAGGGTCCGCCCGGCGAGGCTTGATGTCACGGGTCTTCATGTAGGAGAGCAGCTGCTCAGGGATCTCAGCCAGCACATCCTTGGCCAGGCGGGCCATGCTCAGCACCTGGTTGCCCGAGTCGTCCACGTAGTCCCGAAATGGCACAAACTATGAGGGTAAGAAGTTTGCAGCCCAGCTGGAAACAACCCTGTGGCTGCAGGGTCAGCAAGGGGGGGCTGAGCATCTCTTGCCCATGGTGGGGCTGGGCTCAGTGCTGGTGTTACCTGTACAATGTCCCTCTCGGCGTACCGTCCCCGGGACGACAACCGTACCTCGTCACCATCCAGTTCCTCCATGGCTGGGGGTGACAGCTAGTGTCACCGAGCCTCGGTGGGGTGGACACCAGGGACAGAAACACCATCCCTTTGGGTGTCTTGGTGCCCCAGAGGAAGGGATGATGTTTCTATCCCCTTTCCCTGGTGTCCCCAAGTCCCAACTCACCCTCAAACTCAGCCGGACCCACTCCCACAATGATGATGGACATGGGCAGGGAAGAAGCCTGTGGAGCAGAGGCAGTGTCAGCCAGGGCAGTACCCAATGTGGGGTGAACTCATGGCAACGAGGGTGCACTTACAGTGACAATGGCTTCCTTGGTCTGCAGCATGTCAGAGATGACACCGTCGGTGATGATGAGGAGGACATGGTACTGCGAGCCGTCGGTCACCTGGGCGGCTGTCCTGTGGAGACAAGGGATGGGGTCTCTCCAGCACCCCACTGGTGTGGGGCAGCTGGTCCTGCTGTGGAATCACATTTGGGGATGGCAAAGGGGAGAGTTCCCCAGTGCTCACCCAGCCACCTGGTTGATGATGGGGGCAAAGTTGGTAGGACCATAGAGCTGGACGGTGCGCAGGCTCTGGAGGTAGGACTCCAGCACACCCTCGATGCCAGCACAGCTGGGGTTCTCCACATTGTTGTTCTGGGAAACAGGGATGAGTGCTTGGAGGGGGACCATGGCTCCCAGTGTCCCACCTCAGGCTGCGGAATGCCGGGGTAGGATGTGGCC